CATTTTAAAGAATATGAAAGAGGTCGAGAGCACTGTAGTAACGGAAGTCGACGGACAGTTCTATTACTCGTATGAAGGGATCTTACATCGAGTATCTCAAGAAAGATGTGATTGTAACTTCTACGAGTCTATATGTTACTGCCCTGCAAACATATCTTTTCCGTAAGGCTGGCATTAGGAATGAGTCTATACGAGGAAAATTTAGTCAATAAACGATGGACAACGAGCTATAATATAAAACATCACAGAGTCTTTGAGAATGACATGAGTTCATACCCCACAGAAATAAAAATATGCTCAAAACCAAAAGTGGTGGCTAGATCTAAGCAAGAAAAATATAAGGAGTCCATTCTTGTCACCAATGAATTGGCCGATGTCATATCGGAAACAACTGGAAGTAGATATGCTGAGAGATTAGAACTGATACGAGAAATCATTAAGTAAGTAAAAAATAATGATGTGAGCTTCAGATCAATTATAATTGGTTAATTAAATAGATTATTTTTAAAAATGTTATAATTTTCAGTCATTGGAAGAGTAACAACGGCATTAAAATATCAGTTACGGAATCACCAAGTACTGCTACTTTGACAGGTAATATAAACCAACAGCTAAAATTTAATTATCTGCTATTTTTGATGTAATGGAAAATGATGATATTCAAACTTACANTTTATTAAAATGATAGTTTGAACATGTAAAAATCACCAAGTGCTGCTACTTTGACAGGTAATATAAACCAACAGCTAAAATTTAATTATCTGCTATTTTTGATGTAATGGAAAATGATGATATTCAAACTTACACTGCATTTTTTTGTAGTTCGTATGTATTGAAAAAGAATGTGCAATTTAGATTTCAAATATGAATTAAAATAGACTTAATATTAGAAGCATTAAAAAAAATTAAATTGATCTGCGTTAAGCTTTGTTGTAACTAAAATCGGAGTAAGATAAACGAAAATTAATATTAAAATTTAATAAGTATGTATACTCCTTTATTAGTTGGAATCCTTTAGAAAGAAAATAAGAATAGAGTATATTTATTTGATTTGAATTGACTCTTATGAGTCTGAAGTAAAAAATATCCTTGCAAATCTTTCTTGCAACGACCCGAGTACTTAAACACTGTATAAAAGCTCATGTTTATATTTCATCATTGTGATATTTTCTCCATTATAAATACTATGCTATTTGCTTGAATTTTATTCAGATATTGAGAAAAGATCTCCTGATGACCCGTCCAATTTTCTTAACAGTAATGTAGGAGTGCCAGAAGATCTAACAAGTAAGTTCTCAATTTTCACTTAAAAATAAAATTGTAGGTATGGTGGCAGAAAATAAATCAGTTTACAATACAGGCAAATTCTTCTTAATTTTCAAATTCTTTGAGTATCAGTTTTGTAACAAAGCATTAACTCAGATTTTCGGAGTGGTTAGAGTCATATCCTCCACGAATTATTTCTAATTATTAAAATTATTATTTTTATGTTTTTAATGATACCTTA